ATGTCCTTCTGTTTCTTGTGCCATGCAGGAGTGGTTATAATTACATTTGGTATTGGGGTGATTTTCATATTACATGGCATGACAAATGAACTTATTTTAGTATATATTGTATTTCCTGTGCTCACAATCAAATTACATTAACTTTGAAAAAGGGTTGCAAGTAGACTTAGTCTAATTTGAAGGGGTCACAAGTCAAAAAAGCTAGGAGCCGCTTACTGTATATGTACAAGTCAGCAACATTATGTTAGGGTGAGTGAAACAGGCAGGACCCAAATGCAGATTGAAACGAGAAAATACCTTTATTTCAAAGTTTTACACGGACAAACAGAACACTACCCTGTGAACACAGTCACAGATAAACAAGAAACCAACAATGACAGACAGCAAAAACAGAACTTAAATACACATAAGACTAATCAACGAAACAAGAGACAGGTGAGGAGGGAGGAGAAAACACAGGGGCAACAGGTGAACACAATCAAGTAACCAGGTAGGAGGGAACAGGTAGGAGGGAACACACACAGACAGGAAACCAAAGACAGATCTAAACAAGACAAAACACAACGCAGACAGATCGTGACATTACCCCCCCCTCAAGGGACGGATCCCAGACGTCCCAAAACACAAAAAAAAGTCCAATAAACGTAAAAAAACGGCCCGGGGGCAAGGCAGAGACCATGGTGGGGGTCTCGGGCGGACGGCCCGGGGGCAAGGCAGAGTCCATGGTGGGGGGTCTCGGGCGGACGGCCCGGGGGCAAGGCAGAGTCCATGGTGGGGGTGTCGGGCGGACGGCCCGGGGGCAAGGCAGAGTCCATGGAGGGGCGAAGGCCACAGCGGGCAATTTCAGGGGCCCAAGCATGAGGGCGAAGGCAGCGGCAGGAAGAGTCAGGGGGCTGGGCCCGAGGGCGAGGACCAAAGCCGGGAAAGTCAGGGGGGCGGGCTCGAGGGCAAAGACCGCGGCTCTCAGGGAGCCGAGCATGAGGGCGAAGGCCGTGGCACTCAGGAGGCCGGGCTCGAGGGCGAAGACCGTGGCTCTCAGGGGGCCGGGCTCGAGGGCAAGGACCGCGGCACTCAGGGGGCCGAGCGTTAGGGCAAAGGCAGCGGCTGGAAGAGTCAGGGGGCCGGGCCCGAGGGCGAGGNCCTCACTCTGCAGGTTTGTAACCTCTTTAGCGTGCTGCGTGTCGATGGTCTGAGGCAGCAAGGAGTACAGATTCATGCTCATCTCCTTCTTCCCCTCCTCTTTAGAGGAGGGGAAGAAGGAGATGAGCATGAATCTGTACTCCTTGCTGCCTCAGACCATCGACACGCAGCACGCTAAAGAGGTTACAAACCTGCAGAGTGAGGTATTCACAAGTCATTCTTTCTTATCTTGCTCTTTAATTTCTTGTGTATGATGCCACATATTGGCCATTTTAGGGTAAAAAAGAAAATATAAAAAAGAAGGAAATTACTGTTTCTATTCTGACAAAAAACACCTCAAATCAGTTTTTATATTAACGTCTCTTGGAAATCTGGATCCTTATAATAACAATATGGTAAAATGTGGGTTAAATAACTAATATTTCCTTATTGCTAAATGTAATGGCTAATTACAGTTTGATCCACGGCAGGCATAATACACAGCATTTGGCGGCCATGTTGTTTTCCCAAAATAATTCTCGTAAATGTACCACTTTTATTTTGAAAACTCATGTCTTTTTTTTCAAAACATCTCTCCCCGCCCAAGGTTAGGTAATTATTATTTTTTTCAAACTTAAAATGGCCATAGAATGCTATCGTACTTGTTTCCTCAGACTGACACTCACAGTTTTTAATGAATGTTAGATGTTTGCCACTGTAACATGTGACACATATTTGCATATATATACCATTTTTTTATAAATGTGATGTTGCATTGTTCTGTGTTGGTGTCCTGCAGGTGAAGTATAAGGAAGGAGTGAAGCAAAAGAATCAGAGCAGTTTGTTCCATCGGCTCCCAGAGACCACAGAGACTCAGCTGGCCAAACAGATGTCTGACCTTCAGAGCCAGGTACCAAACACACACTTCATACACACATATACACATTATTTATATAGAACAAGACTGAGAACGATAAGATTTGGAGAAAACCCAAATATATCTATTTTAAAATGTATTGGCTGCGATTGTGATCTCAAACACTTATATAGCTTTGAATATTTTTGTATATAATCTAGAACTATTGTTTTATACAGCTGGAAAGTATTTGAAACAATAATAGGTATGTCTAGTCCAAATCATCCATCCTGCTTTGTACATAATAGTTTGGGGTCCATGTGTCTAAATTGCATTTTTATTTAGACACACACCCATTTAATTTGTACCAGGGGCATTGGTTTGAAGAAAAGCCAAATGAATACAATGTTGGTTCAGTAAGTTAACTATCTCTGCATTGCAATCTGCAAACTAACCCTTTCAAGCTTTATACTCAAGGTTTTTTCTCCTAAATGTAGCTTTTTAACCTGGGAAATGTTCATGCAAGGTGACCGTGTTCTCGTCAATTTGCAGAATAAGTACCAGGAGGCGGGTAAGAAGGAGGTGGAGACGTCTCTGTACTCCCTCATGCCTCACACCATGGACACACAGCTCGCTAAAGAAGCTGGAGAGCTCCTCAGTGATGTAAGAAGAAGAAGAAAAAAAAACAGTTCTTCATTTCTGATTTCTCAGAGTCTGGTCACAAAATGTATCCATTCTTCTCTCTGCTGTTTCTTCCAGATCAAATACAAAGAAAGCATGAAGAAGGGGATGAGCAGCTCCCTCTACTCCACTCTGCCCGACACAAGAGAAAACAGCTTGGCCAGAGAGATGAGCGACATGCAGAGCGAGGTGAATAAAACACACAGATAATCTGGATTTCAGGGATTAGAGAACAGTTTTCTGACAGTTGCTCTTTTTTAGAATGAAATAAATAGAATACAAATATTTATATTAATGTAAGTTAAAGTACTGTAAAATGTCCAATAAATGATTGAACAATATATATATTTAAATATTTTGACATCAATAACTTCAATGTGGTTTCTATCTGCACTGATTTAGAACTGCAGTTTACGTGTTGAGAACACTGAACGTTATTGAACAATATATATTTATTCTAGAATAAATACTTAAATATGCCAAACAAGTATTTTTCATGCACACGTTTTAAAAGTTCTTATCATTTAAACTATGGTGTTAGATTTGGTCACGTAAACCAAGCTAATATCCGGATTTCAAAGAGGCAATAGACCCTTTTGCTTAAATGAACTCTTGATGGCACTGTTGATGGCACAATGTAATGGCTGCAGCATAATGACACTATTAGTGTTTAAATTGCTTCCTTATAAACCTTAGTGTTTCACGGAGTACTTTCTCCCATGAAAACGAATTGAATCTATTGCCACTTTTTTTTAAATGTGCAAGTAAACAAAGGGGGCACTCTAAACTAGGGCCTCCTTGACCTCAAACATTTTAAAGTGAGGTTGAATAAAGATGAGGTTTGCAGCGTGCAGGATGCTGTTTGATCACTTATAAATAATCCTAACCACAGTACTCAGTGCTCTGTGATGTTTTTATACCTCAGACACTAACCAGAGGTTAGATTAGCATCAGAAACAGGATCAAAGGGTCCACAGTCTGTTACTAATGTGTATCACAGGAGAGGCATTAACACTGTCAGATCTGTGGACTGAGAAATATGGGAGACTAGATTCATACCATTTCAGGGGGTACAGGAAATCTAATCTCATGGGGTCTCATTGGACAATGTATCACCCCCTTATGTTTATACATCAAACCAATATCTGTTGTTTTCATTTTTGTCCAGAACAAGTACAAGGAGGACGGGAAGAGGAGCCTCCCTCAGAGTTTCTACTCTCAGCTCGCTGAAACACCACAGATTGAGTTCGCTAAAAACGTCTCTGAGCTGCAGAGTGAGGTAATGGAGAGACATGCTCCATAAATTATGTTTTATTCGGAAATCCTGTGGCGCTAAAAAGCCAGGTACATGCATTATGTAATCATTGAACTCACTAAAATATGACAAATATTTAGCTAAATATGGGAAGACATTAGTTGTACACGCTTGATGATGTCCCACAATTATATTACAGTGTGCTAAGTGGATACTGCTTAAAAAGATTCCTTTTTATAAAATCACATTACACTCTGAATTTACTTTTCAAATATATCCCAAAAGCTGATTCCAGGGGGACAAATAATGAGTCAGTTAATGCAGCTATACAGATGACACACAACTCCATATGTTTGTGTCAAACAGCTTCAGAGTACTTTATTTATCTGGGGAGAAAAACTGGGTAAATTGTGTCTCAGGTTTTTGCTCCTGCTTATTTTAAATGAGATCGATGAAGGCTTTCGAAGCCAGTTTTAAGTTCATTTTTGGTTTGTGTTTTTAGATGAAATATAAAGAAGCAGGGAAGAAAGGAGTGACGAGCTGTCTGTACTCCACTCTGCCAGAGACTCTGGATACACAACACGCTAAAGAGGCTTCACAGCTGCAGAGCCAGGTACACACACACGCTTTTTAGTATGCTTTACCTCCTTATATTCTGCTGTAAAAACTGTGAAAGTACAGTAGAGTGGTTGTGACCCACATGCTATGTGTTTTCCAGCTGAAGTATAAGCAGAGTCTAAAGAAAGACGCCTCCAGTCTGTTCCACCTGATGCCAGAAACCAACGACACCATGTTCCATAAGCAGCAGACGGAGATGCTCAGTGAGGTACCACAAAGATGTAGATGTATTTCTATTTGTCATGATCCTGCAGCAACTGATCTCTGTATTAACCAGCAGTCTGTTCTCGTTCCCCTTTCTTTCTTCAAATCAAGGTGAAGTATAAAGAAGAGGGGAAGAAAGAGATGAACATCAACCTGTACTCTCTGCTTCCTGACACCATCGACACGCAGCACGCTAAAGAGCAGACGGACATGCAGAGCGAGGTGCGTTCAGTGTCGGTTAATACAACAACTACCTGCAGAATGAATATCATTTAAGAATTTCTCTTTTTTCAATCGCACTCATAGTCTGTACTTTCTCACTTTTACTCTTCCTAAGGTGTAACACAATATGGTATAAACCTGAATATGATTGGTCCTTGTTCTTCCAGGCTAAATACAAAGAGGCCGGGAAGAAGCAAACGTCCTCGTCTCTGTACCAAAAACTTCCTGAAACTCTGGAGACTCAGCACGCCAAAGAGGCCACACAGCTGCAGAGCCAGGTAAACACGTGAATAAAAGAATAAAAAAATCATTGTTTACAAAATCTCAAATACTCCCGGGGCTAAATAAAACATTTCTAATTCTAATAAATTCAGATTTTCTGCACAACTTAAGTTGACATGACAAGTTTATTATCATAGCATAGAAACCAATGTTTAAAATGTAACTAGTATATAAAATGTAAAGTTTAGTTTTTAGATTAAGACTAGCATAGAGCTCAAACACGCAAATGCAGTTGTTGAATTATGTTTAGTGTCTTATTCGCCCTCCTCAGTGACATGCTTTCCTCTCTGTGTTGCAGACTCTCTATAAAGAAGCCGGTAAGAAGGAGATGTCGTGTCCGTTTTACCACCAGATGACGGACACTCTGGAGAATCAGTTCGCCCGAGAGATCACTCACATGCAGAGCCAAGTAAGGAAGAATATATGATACATCTGTCTTCCTGTTTCTGTGGAGGTCTTCTAACAGCTACTGTAAGATAACAGCGGCAGCCATTTCTTTTGATTTGTTTTCTATGTTTTACATGTATCAGACTTTGGCACACCCTGCCCTTTATCATTAATCTGTGTTATTGTTGAATATAACGTGTGTGTTCTGTCTCTGGTTGTAGAATAGGTATAAAGAAGACGGGATGAGGAATCTCTCTCAGAGTTTCTACTCTCAGCTGCCAGAAACTGCTGAGACTCAGTTTGCTAAATCTGTTTCTGAGCTGCAGAGCGAGGTGATTACAACACAGCACATTTATGACATTACTATACAACTACTATAACTATATCAAATGTCATTGTAAATATTTGTATCTTATTATTTAATATTATCTTATTTTATCTTAATATATTTGTATCATACTTTAGTTAATCTTACTTCTAATCTTTAAATTTATTTTATTTTATATTGTCTTGTTTTTCTCAAATGTTCTCTTATCTTGTCTCATCATATTCAATGTTGTCCTATTTTTTAATTTTGTATTTTATATTTCCTATTTTAATATTGTTTTTTGTAATCTATTTAATTGTATCTTACCATATTTAATGTTGTCTTATTGTGTTTTATCTTATTTGATTGTAATCAATATCAAATGCTTTATTTTGAATTTTAGACGAAGTATAAGAAGTCTGGGCGTCAGGATGCTGGCAGCTCTCTGTACTCTGTGATGGCAGAAACTCTGGACACACAACACGCCAAGCAGGCCTCACAGAACCAGAGCCAGGTACACACACACACACACACACACACACACACACACACACACACACACACAATATCGGGGGTGGGCCCACCTGTCACTTTTTGTAAATACTAATGTGATTGAAACAGCATTTTTTTTTTTATTATACACCATAAGGCGCAACAGGGGGGGCTTTTCACACCTGTGAATACACATCACCCCCTCCTATCGACGGATCTCACACCTACTTGGGATATCACACCTCGAACAAAGGGAGGCGCGACTTAGCTCATTTGCATAATTGGGGGAGGTGTGACCTGTCACTTGTGTATGCATACTAATGAGACGAAAGCGGGATGAATATTACTACTCACATGCATATCCTAACTATGACTTTCATGTACAAGACATAACAGGAGAACCTGCTAAAACATAATTGTGGTTAGAATAACACTGGGGATCATAAATTATGTATTTTTTCTGATAAACAGTGACAACATTTTAATTAATAAGTGCACATTAACAGCGCTCTACTTGTTGGACAAGTAAAGGAGAAGCTTGCTCTGTGCATATTACGCACCGCTTCGCCCGCAGCAGCAAAGCCTTCTTCAAACCAAAACATAATTGCTGACTGTGGGGAATGCAAGACTCGGATCCCGAGAAAAAACTGTGTAGGCCTATGGGTGGACAAACTATGATTCGTTCAAAAAACTGAGTGCATTCATTTATATATGCATTGCGCAGAGTAACTGACCACAGTCAGTAATATAATCTAAAATGACCACAGTAGTTTTCAGATTTGTCTTTAGTTTATAAGTAGCCTAATTATGTTCCTATATATTATAAATAGGAGTTAGTCATCGTGGACACAGAACGCGCACAAATCTTCATCCCCTCAAAAACTAAACAAGAACAGCCATTTTAATATTTAATGTTAAAAGGAAAGTTGAATTAATGTGATACATAAGAAGGAGTTGCCATTTCTACAATAAATACATCTTCAACATTCAGATCAAAAACAAAAACAAGTAATATACTAGTTAAAAGCCCTGGTGCATTTGAGCTATCGCCAACCCAGCAAGACGTGTCTGAAGCTGATAGGGGTTTCATCAGTCCTGCCCGATGCAAATATATTAAAATCCTCAGGGCTGCAGCCGCACAGAAGAACGTGCCCTGCAGGGAATTGTGCGTCGTTGCCATGGTGCATAACTTGGCCAATGAATGGCCATATATTATTAGCATTTTATGAAATTAGGCCCAATCGCCATTTTATTGTTGTAATATTTTGGTCATCTTTCGACGATGTCTAGCTATTAAAGTAAATTAAAATCACTAAACTATTTATTAATACATTCCACACCTCTACCGCCAAAAAAAGTCAGTCTTTCACAAATATACATTTTAGACAGAAAAAACGTCAGTGAGTTTCTGCTTTCTCCAAATCCGCTTCTGACCAAAAGAAATGCCAACATTCTATTATCTTTTCACCTTTAAACTAAAACAAGATCACTTATTTCCACACAGAAACAGCTTTGTATGATTTTAAGGGGATAAATGAACAATTTAAAGGCGAAAAAAAAGATTTGTTGAAGTCTTTATTTATTTATTTTTTACCTGGAGGGTAGTTTCCCAACACGGCCGATGGCCAGTGCCAAGTGCTCTGGGGGACCGGGAGTTATATTATCCTCTCCGGGTCTCCACAGCAGATCACGGATGCAGTAGTTTTGTTTTTCAAAATGTTTGATTCCAGCGGGTTGAATCTCAAAGAGTTTTCTATCCAAAGGCGAGTTTTAAAAAAGGTGTGCTCTGGTCAGTCCAAGTGCAAAGTGAGTTCAGAACGGTCAGCCGCCACCTGCATGCACAACGTTCTGTTTCCATGACAATGACGCACGTAGGTGACCATGAGATGCCTTTTACCAAATCTCATATTTGAAACATATATTTTTAGTTTATTCGAAGTCAAAAATATAATGAAAAACAACATGATATTGCAAGTCGAAAAAAACGTGATAGTATAGCACATTGAAAATATCAAATAGCCATGGCAACAGGCTGTCCCAGGTCTGTGTGTGTTTATCATGTTTTCCTATGCCATTATTGCATTTCTGTAATTGATTGTTTTCTCCATGCCTCTGCCCTGGCAAGGCTGCAAGGAAACTTTTTTTTTCTCATTCAATTCCCCTGTACATATCTTAGGATTACCTTTGAGGGAATTTCTTCAAATGTGTCACAAACATCCACTTGGATCAAGAATGAACTGATTACTTTGAAGGTCAAAGGTCAAAGTCACCGTGACCGAAAAGAAAGACTTAAGAACCACATGGATGTAAACTTCAACGTGATTGGTTAGCACCTATCCTCTAAATGATGCTCATGCTGAAGACGCTTTTCTTAATTGATTTCCTTTTTGTCCTAATTTGCATTGCAATGAGCTCTTGGGGCCACGGGGTTATGAACAACCGAAAGCATTAGCATAATAAATACCATAGTCAGTCATTATGCTGTCCAAGGTGTTCCATTTATTCAAAGTAGGACATCACGATTTCATACAAAAATATTCCAAATGCTGTACACTTGTTCTCAACATTGTGCAAAATGTAAAGAAAATATTTACAACTCCAGTTAACAAGGAGAAGGTCAGAGACAGACAAATTCATCAAACTCATCAAAATGTAAATATTCATTGTGATTAATGAGGAGTGATGACACTTTGAAATGTTCTGATCAGAGTCAATAAACGATATGAACTTGATCTGAAATGCAAACAAATTGAAGTAAACAGGTTTGTGCTGAAGGGAATGCAACATGGATTATGGTATTTTACATTAAAATGTACAGTATAAAAACATGCATCAGGTTGGAAAGATGCAAAGTATTTTAAAATGTAAAGTACTTACAAGATTGCAGTTCACACATTAAGTTGCATTGACTGTAAAATGCACACATTGGGCAGTAGAGTTGAATCTGCCTTAGCCTCAAGGTTTCATAACAAAAAAAGAAATACCTTTTCCAGTTTTTGTCCAATAAAAAGTGCACTGCTTGCAAACATGCATACATGGCTTTGAGATGAACCTCTCTTTCTCGAACTCTTCACCGTCTCATATGCATCTCGACATCCACATTCATTTCCTCAGCAGGTCCAGCAGCAACAAGTGTTCTGTTTGTAAGGCTTTCATTCAAAGCCAGAGTGCTGCTGTGTGTTCATTTAATTTGGAGGAGCTTCATCTTGTTCCCTAAAATAAGATAAAAACAATTAGCCTTTGAGACTTAACATTAAAAAGTGAACATTTGATGAAAGAGCAACACTTACCCAGTCCTTTAAGAAATTTGTTCACACCACTTGGCTCCGGCTCGGGGTAAGAATCCAGATACTCGGCCACTCGGACCTCAAAGAGACCTGGAACAGAGTTTCAAGTGTTGAGCCACCAAGACGGAATGTTTACACAATTCAATATTCAACTTAAAATGAACATAGTTTAAATTCTCCCCAAATGCAGCATGGTTTATTGTTGTGGTGTTTGCGTGCAAAGTTAATTCTCTTTGCCCTGTTTCTCTCATTCCTTGCGTTTATTTCAGACATGTGACTGATTTAATTTAAGTCACATGTCTGGTTTGGTATGATTGAATTAAGCACAACCAATCTTTTTTTATTCAATAACATTATCTTATTATGTGGAAATGTCTGACTTATTCAGACACTCTGTCCACGCTATACTTCAAACTACTTTCTTTGAATGACTTGTCTCAGCATTATGGGGACTTAAAAGGTAGGGACATCTTAGGCAGCAATGACATCTAATGTCAGGGAGTAAACAGCTTATTCCTTCTATTCACTTTCAAGTGAGTTCATTTTTTTGGTTTTCTTGGTATGAGAAGTAATGAGCAGTATCTATGAATTCGTAAAAATGTTGATGTTTTAAATTAAATTTAGCAGAAAATCCATATTTTGACTAGTGAATAAAGTGTGATTTTCTCTGTGATCTTACAATGTCAAAGTGATATGGCTAAATACTTGCTGAAAGTAAGTCCCCACCAGATTTGAAGACTTTAGACCAATCACAACAAATGTTGTGACATTTTTCCTTCTCATACCATGTTGAGCCTTTGGGTACACATGGGTTACAAAAACAAAGCAACCCAACACAGTTACCTCTTCCTCCTCCCTTGCGCAGCTCTTTGTCCTGAATGAAGCCGGCAAACATCTGCGTGTCCATGAAGAACTGCAGGAACTGCCGCACTCCACGGGACGGGTGGGACTTGCGGAAGCCGTCGCGCTGGAACTCCGTGCTCCCGCTGGAGGACTCCACCATGTGCAGAGGGTAGTGGCCCACCAGTTCCACGAACAACCGGACAAAACCCTCCGACAGCAGAGAGCTCAGATCAGCCTGCTGACCTGGACGGCCATATTTAATGGAGAGAAAAGGGTCAACAGGACTCAAAAACAAAAGATTTGTACCCTAGTTTTCCAATATAACTGACATTTGTTTCATTCATTTCTTAAAGGGTCCCTACTATGTTCATTTTCAGGTTCAGGGTGGGTGTTGGTGTGTGAGAAAATCCCTCTGGAGGGAACTTTGGAGATTTTAGCCTTTGCAGACCATTTACATGCACAAAAACCCATATAATACACTAAAGGGAAAAAACCTAAAAAGCATAATAGGGCCTCTTTAGACCAACACATTTAGGAACATTATGACTTACTATTTAAACGTCATTGTGGTGCTAAAATTGATGATGATATTGCAACAGTAAGGGCTTAACTTAAGCAACACTTAAAAAGCTGACAGACCTGTTTGGAACATGTAATATCTGTGTATACTAACCTCCACGAGTGTCTCCGTCCTCCTGGCTCAGGATATCGTCCCGCTGCTCCAGGATCTGCTGCAGCGCCGCCTGCAGTTTGTTAGGCAGGATGCAGTCCTCATCGCCCAGCTGTCATAGCACAGCAGAGGTCAGCAGCAGCCACAAAATACCTTTTACAATCAAACAATTCAACTCTGCCGCACATTGTCACAACATACCTTATGATATCTTTAGCCTTTGTGCACTAAAGTAATTGCTTTTTTGTAATTACTTTATTATTGCTGCTAGGCCTGCTGATGCATGATGTGTGTTTATGAAAATACATCAGTAACAGATTTGGTCAGTTTTTTCTTTGTTTGTGACTTCAATCAAATCAAATGACTATGTACTTCTGAATTAATACAAGTGCTGGTTTTCCCATTGATCATGTTGCTCAAATGAATGAACAGCTGTACATGTGTTTAGGAATGATGTTTTGTGCTAAAATAACAAAGTGCTTCACAGTCCATCATATACCATCTCCAAAGGCTACACTGTGTATTTGAAATAATCTCCATCCCTTTATTCATACTTTTCCATCAATGATATGCTGCATTTTGCTAACAGCAGTATTACAATAAGTTCTGTATAACACACAGCTAATGTTAAAGTGGCAATGCATTTCCTATTAGCTCTTAGTTGAAAGAGATTGAGGGATTAAATGTAATTAAATAGGAGAGACTTAAATATAAAAAAAACAAATGGGTTTATCATACATTTAGTAGACTGAGTGATTACTGTTGAGAGTCTGCAGAGACATTTGATTACTTTTTCTGCCTGCAGTGCTTGTTTGGGTGTAACACGGTTTTCTCTCTGTCACCCTGAAAACATTCCACATGCACACAGGGAACAAGTGTAGGCAAAGCCGTGTTTCCCGAACGGGACCACACCTACCATTCCCTCGACATAATGCTATGTGTACACACCTGAATGACAAACTTGTCAGCACACAGATCCACAATGAGCACCTGGGGAGACAGCAACAAGAAGAATGACAGTTAATGACGGCGAGAGCTTACTGTTTCGCAATAGTCATACAAAGCCATGGCTTGCAGTTATAAAAAGGTAGGGTGAATTAGCCAGTCTCTTCAGGGTGTTTCTAATTACTACACCCAGAAGGAGTAGAGATTCATTCACAAAATGTAGTAAAAGGACAGCTAAGAGATGGAGCTTAATACTCTCTTCAATGATTTCCCCTCTGACTGACCTCCTCTATGGGCAGCTCCAGCAGCTCAGGCAGGCAGGGGGCCAGCACCCCGATGAGGAATGGGGTGGGGGAGCAGCTGATGTCCAGCATGCTGGCCGGTAGCACGGGCACGAAGGTGTGCTGCCAGGTGAAGGGGTACAGCAGCGCCAGCACTGCGTGGCTACACCGGGACAACACACTGCAGGGAACAGGGAGGACAGCAAAGATGAAGCCACAAAAACACCATTCAGTTTCCACACTGATCATATGACACAAAGATTTCAATCGTAGCTGCCTAAAAATAGCCTGGTCACACCATTATGATTTTTTTCCACCGTATATTAAAAGAGTTTTCAGCAAACAGCACTTGTGTTTTCAAAGAGTCCTTAAAAATGCAACAGATCTGCCCTTATGCTCTTTGATGGTATTTATACTCCCTTTATAAATAACTTAAAACCAATTTAACATCTATATCTCCTCTTAAAACCTGTGAACATTTATTATACAATCAACTCCTAGATAATCCTATTTCTAATAACTACAGTCAGTTTTAAACCACTCTGTAGCACATGACATGCCGACTCCATCGCAATCTTTTAAGTCTTAATCCAAGCACAGTGTTGATATACCTGCAGTGCTTGTTTGAATGAAATCAAATTGAAATCAGGAAAGCAGATAGCTTGCACATCTTCCGGCGCAGACTGAAAACTCATCTCTTTCAACTCCACTTCGAGTGATAGAATTACTAACAAAGAACTGCTAACAGAGCACTTTTATACTAATAAAGGACTGGCTTATCTATAACCAGTTGAGTAGCACTTGAAATGTTTGGCTCTATGAAACCTGATGTACTTATATGATTCTGTTTTCTTCAAGGTTGTATCTTCCTGGTCGAATGTACTTATTGTAAGTCGCTTTGGATAAAAGCGTCAGCTAAATGTAATGTAATGTAATATACTGATATTGGCTTGTTATCAGTATCAGCAGACATGTTGGCAGATATGCAAAAGATCATCGTTTATATCATTCACAACTGATACATTTTGTGTCGTATATATGTGTTTTTATTTAACCTTTATGATAAATAATGAAACAAGCTTTATGTTTTTATACTTAACTGAGAAAGGTCCTGCTCAATAAGCCTGGGGTGAGTCAGCACTTTGTTTTTGTGTAGCCCTGTAGAGCCCACTGGGACACTGTAACGGCTCGTCTACACTACAGGCATCAAAAAATCTTGATTCTGGGCGTGTCTGAAGCTTGGCGATTTTTTGTGAGCAACGCCACCAAAAACCAATCACATGAATCTCCCGCCCCCGACATACAAAGCAATAGCAATGTTAAAACGAAGTAAACTGGATATAAACTCCCCCAAACAGGCGAAAACCTACCAGTTTCACCCACTGTCTCTGCCACCTCCCTCCTGCCTGGTTCCTGCGGTTTGTATCGCCGGTAAATACGGTTCTGTCGTAAAAACCGGTGATGCTTACCGTTAATATCTCGTTTGGAATATGAGAAGAGAGAGGCAGGTCTGGTCTCCCAGCTTGCACGCGGTTGATTGCTGCGCTTGCACTGGCGGATTTGCATAAACGGGATTTGAGTTGGCTGATGCCAAGCACTCGAGCCTTCAAAAGTTGAACATGTTCAACTGTGAGGCCCGATAGGGGAATGCTCGTTGATTGCTGTGCAACAGCCATGCCTGCTCCCCACAATGCCGTTCGGCAGAGATGAAAAATCTGCTACGGTCACCCCATTCAGGAAGATGGCGAAGCGTTGAAAGCATATTTTTGAGCCGTAGTGTAGACGGCCGTAAGGGATTTTGGGCGTACAAATAAACCTGACTTAACTTGCCTTTTGGGACGCTTTGCCAGCAGCTTAGCTTATTGAGCCAATATACACACAGATAAACTGACACTAGCGAAGGTCTGTGTGTAATCAAGTATGTTATAGGCTGCCACGCTCAAGGGAGAGTCTAATCTAAATCTAATAAAATAAAACTCGTGTGGTCAGCACTCTATGACATCCTTCTATATGAGATGTAGTCGATGTGGCGCTGCAGCTGTACCTCGAGTTTGTCAGCCGATGCAAGATGACCCTACCTCTCCAGCAGGTAAGGGCAAACCTGGCCAGGGGGCCGTCACTGAGCACTGCAGCAGCTGGTCGAAGCACGTGCCTCCAGCCTGGAGTCCACTGGGCGACACAGAGTGAGAGACGCTGCACGAGCAACAGAGCACAGAATGAGGAAACGCCGGTATGAGGCAGTCTTAGTTTCGTTGTACCACTAACTGCTTGATGAAGTAATCACAATTTGGCAAAAACAGACTCCTTTAACAAACATCTAAGGTTGCAGTTTAGAGCCACGAAGTGTTTCAGGACAGAGGGGGAAAAGCGGCGAGTCGGAGAGAAATAAAGACCTTCCTCTGAACTTTAAAGCATGTAACGAGACAGTAAGAGGCACTAGTATTAGCGAATTATTCATCCTGAAAAATGAGCATAATATGTCTCTCTATAATCACAAAAAACAACGTGAACTAATATATTAACCAGAACGTCTGTAATCAATGCTCTCTTTCAAAGGTGGGCGAAAAGGTTAGAGCGCTAAGTCACAAATACCATAGCAACGTAAACCAGTCGAGCGTAGGCCAGCAGTCATGTTTCCCCAAGTTTGACGATGAGTTGTTTTTGTCAAAGGAGTCTGGCTTTGAAGAGGCATACCATAATGATTGTCCCCCTTGGAGGGCAGAAGGCAAGGATAGTATGATTACATTTTTTAGTGCTTTTAGGGCTTTTTGCTTCTGCACTCATCTACTGGGGGAGGACTAATTCAGGGACACAGAGACGCGGCAACTGTATTCCGTTAGAGTGCACAAAAAAGACGCTATCAGATTATCGAACTTTGTTTTTTTTTAAGAAAAGGACCGAAAATGGATCTAGTGGTATTACGATGTTACACAACATTTTGAAAGATAAAGCATTGAAATGTTATAGAGGTGGACCTAGTGCTCGATTTTGTTTTTGTTTTTAATAAAGAAATACTTTCATTCTTCTTTATTTGAAATATTTTATATAAGTACAATTAGGGGACACAAAATACTTTCCTTGCAATTTAAAAGCATTGGTAAACTAATTACTCCGTATGCCTCCTATATAAAATGATACATCTTGGTTTTCTTCCTTTACTAAGGTTCATTGTTCTGTTGTAATCCATCCTTAAAATTAAAAAAGCATCTTATCTTGAATTTATTTGATATTGCATTGCATGGTGGATATTGAGCGGTAATCCAAAAGTAATAGAAGTAATCAGCGTTACAAGTACTTTTATTTTGCTGCTTACGATGAATGTTACTGGTTCATTTTTACATCTTAATTGGTACAGAGCACAGTTTAAAGTACGCCCTGACCTGAAGTACCTCATACACCACCGCTCAATAACTTCCTTAATAACCCGCCCTAACGCGAAAGAGAGGAAGCAGGATCGGCAGCACTTCCTCTGAAACTTCCGAAGATGTTTAGTACTTGAGCTTATTTAGAATCTGCAAACGAGTAAATGACGTACATGATTTGATTGTTGTCTGGATAATAATTCAATCTTGTTGCCCACATGAACCTTTAAAGCCGTAATTGCTTACCCTATTGTTTGCCACCACAAACCTTCCCGATTCTGAGTCAGTGAGTCATGCAGAAGATGTGGTTAGAAGAAACAAAAAACACTAATCAGCGTTTCCGCAGGGTCAGGGTTACCGCATTCCTGAGCCAGGCAGAGAAGCTCTTGATGGTGACTGGGCGCCCGGGGAAGGGGGCGGGCCTCCATTGATCGCTGGGGCGCATAAATGGGTAAGACAGCTGGCTGGGAGAGTCTGCCCTGGCGCCTCTCGCACCTACCTCCAAAATCTTGGGAACAGACAGAAAGACAAACACTACTATCCTGAGAGCAGATTAAACACACGTGGCGCGAGTTTTGCCTCCTTGCTAATCCACATTTACTGTTGCAAATAAAACCCCGGACCAACTGTAAAAATGGTGTGACCCAAGCTGCATGTATATTTTTTTTTTTTTTTTTTCTTGGAAGTATCAGCAACACCAGGATTGCTCAGGTTATTCTTCTAGGAACGGCAGACTCCATCCTCCAATACATACAAGAGTTTCAAGCAGCAGCTTTCACCACACATTCTAGAGGGGTGCCCATTTGACTTTAGCAAAGGGCTCCTTTTCGATCGCCAACAGAGAGAGCTTCCTTTATAGTGCATTACCTTTTTGGCAAGGGTGGAAGGCGGGGCGTCTTGCTGACGTACGAGTGGCACTGTCGGGAAGCTCTTGCCGCGGGGTTCCAATGGGGGACTGAACGGGACGGGACAACAGTTTCGATGTCAGAGGAAGCAGAGTAGCAGATAGGTAAATATCGCTAAACCACGGTTGATATATTAGCACTAAGAGCCGCCATAGAGCTTCATTGAGACTAGGGGTGCCATGTACTGGGACCTTGGCCAAGGTATCATTTAAAAAGTAAACCAATATGTAACATTAAAGGAGACCGGTCTATTTTACCTTCAAATAATTGTTTACGTTTTGAGCTACACGACTTGTGCCACTCGGCACATTTGACAGCGGTTCAGATGAGCGTGGGTCACATTCCGCGATCATCCCCAGGGACAAGTGTGTGAGGCTTTTAAAGACTAGGAAGTTGTTGGGTGATGGTGGTATATTTAAGCTCAGAACATGTTTCCTGTTTCCTGATGACCCTCAGCGTCTGCGCGCGTTGGAGTCTCTGTGATTTTACTGACTTTCCTGTGATTGACAGAAGACTATGCCTTGTCTGCTGAGTAACCCCAACAGGTGCTCCAGCAGCCTCTAGGGAATAAGTAAGTAATACAGGCTTCTCGTGTCTATGGTTGCAT